CTTCTCTCAAGCATACCAGGGCCTGGGACTGACCCCTAACATTGGAAAAACAAAAGTGTTTTACCAGCCTGCTCTGAGCCAGTCAACTCCCCAGCAAAGATCCTCACTGATGGACAGGAGCTGGAGAATATTAAACACTTCGCATATGTCGGCAGCCATCTCTCAAAGAAGGCTTACATTGACCAGGAGATCCAGTATGGGATTTGATGTACCAGCTCTGCCTTCAAAAGACTGAATCATTGTGTGTTCAACAATCATGACATCAGGACTCAAACAAAGGTCTTACTATATAAGCTTGTGGTAATCTCAACTCTTCTTTACAGCTGTGAAGCTTGGGTGATCCACAGGGACCACATGAACTGCCTAGAATACCATCACCAGTGCTACCTCCAGTAGATACTTGGCATAAAGTGGGAAGATCATTACATAAATACCAAGTTCCTCACTGACGCTAACACCACCAGTATGGAAGTGCTGATTATTTAACATCAGCTGTGGTGGACAGGGCACTGTGTGTGCATATTTACCAAAACATCTGCTACGCTCCCAACTCAGCCAAGGACAAAGGACACAGCAGCCAGAGGAAACGCTTCAAGGACACCTTTGAGGCAAATATTAAGAAATGTGGCATTGACACCACAAACTGGGAAAAACTAGCCCAGGACAAGGCTACATGGTGATGCCTTGTGAGAGAAGGTACATCTTACTTTGAGGAAAACTGTCTTGCCCTGGAGGCAGAAAAACAATAGAAAGGAAAGGAAAGGAAAGGAAAGAAGGCTGAGAAATGCATGATCCGACCCTCCTTTTAACCACCAATTGTGGCATTTGCCAGAGAGTCTGTGGCTCTAGGATCAGCCTTATTAGCCATCAACGGACTCATTTACAACCCTTTACTTGACCCATAGGAGTGATCATCCTTGACCATGAGGGATTGCTGCCACTGTGGACAATGTTAAAAGCACCACCCTGGACTGCAGGTGTAAATAAGAGGAATAACACTCATAGTTTCATAGTAGCTAGGGTCAGGAGGGACCTGAACAGATCATCTAGCCTGACCCCCTGCCACAGGCAGGAATGAATGCTGGGTTCACAAGACCCCAGACAGGTGATCATCCAACCTCCTCTTGAATTTGCCCAAGGTAGGGGCGAGGACCATTTCCCTGGGAAGCTGGTTCTAGATTTTGGCCACCCTAACTGTAAAATATTGCCTTCTGATCTCTAACCTAAACCTATTCTTCATCAGCTTATTACCATTGTTCCTTATCACCCCAGGTGGTGCTGGGGAGAAAAGGGCTCTGCCTATTTGCTGCTGATCTCCCCTGATGAGTTTGTAGGCAGCTACCAGGTCCCCCCCCTCAGCCTCCTCTTGCTGAGGCTGAACAGGTTCAGGTCCTTCAGTCTCTCCTCGTAGGGCCTGTCCTGCTGCCCTCTCACCAAGCTGGTGGCCCTCCTCTGAACCCTCTCCAGATGCATGACAAGGTATGGCTGGCCTTGCTGGCTGCGGTCTGGCATTGGCAGCTCATGTTCATCTTGGAGGGAATAATGACTCCAAGATCCCTTTCCGCCTCTGTGCTTTCAAGAAGGGAACTCCCCAGCCTGTATGTATGCTGTGGATTCCTTCTCCCAAGGTGCAGCACCCTGCATTTGTCTACGTTGAACCCCATCCTATTCTCATCTGCCCACTTTTGTAGTCTGTCTAAATCTGTTTGCAGCCTCTCTCTCCCTTCAAGTGTGTCCACCTCACCCCACATCTTAGTGTCATCAGCAAACTTGGACAGTGTGCTTTCCACCCCCTCGTCCAAGTCGTTGATGAAGATGTTAAACAGTGCGGGCCCGAGGACCGAGCCCCGGGGTACCCCACTGCTCACATCTTCCCAGGTTGAGTACAACCCGTCCACCACTACTCTCTGGGTGTGCCCCATCAGCCAATATTTTACCCATCCAACTGTGCAGGCATCAATGCCGCAGTCGCTTAATTTATTGATGAAGATGGGGTGAGAGACAGTGTCAAAGGCCTTCTTAAAGTCTAGAAAGACTATGTCCACAGCGACACCATCATCCAAGGATTTAGTTACTTGGTCATAAAAAGCAATCAGGTTGATCTCAAGTTATAACAAGCTACTCTTTTGTTAAGGACAAGTCCTACATCAGTGGAATTAATGTTGCTAGGCATTTGTGAATGATCAGAGTAATTGCTCTCAGAACAAAAAGTATAAACCAAAATGTCCCCATAATAATATAGAGTTAAGCGGTTTCTGGGTTTGTTTCTGGTCATCAGCTGTTTCAGCCCCTCTGATCACAACTGTCCCAGGCTAGGTGTTACAAGCCTATTTGGGATCATGGCTCTTTTAATTAGGGTTGAAGGATCTATCACAATTTAGTTACTGCAAATGGGCTTGCATTGGGGAGGAACACAAATGACCCAAAGCTGGGTCACAAGCCATAAGTTTATGGAGATCTGCACCCCTGGCCAGGATGCGGGACTTGCTGGTTGGCTTTTTAAATCCTTTGTGGTTTAATAAAGCAGTCCATCACCAGTGCAAGGACAGCCAGCCAAGGCCAATGGCCAGAAGCAAGACCAAGAGGGTGGCCTGAATGCCCCTCTCACTTGCCATAAACTGACAAAAACTCTCTATGCCCTGGACTACCCCCAACCCACTAACTGTACACTGAATGCTAGAACCTATATCTCAGCATGCCTTACCGACTCACAACTCCCAACTGATGCCATTACCATGCACAGGGCCCTGTATCCTCTTGACAGCGATGCGTGACTATGTTTTCTCTTCCCCCTTCACCCCGGATTAATGTAGACCAATAACCAACTGCGTGTCTTAGATTGCACCAGCTATGTTTTGTGTAGTCACCAGATGCGGGGTCCTGTATCCTCTTTGATCTCTATAAACTCATGCAACTAACTACAATCATTTAATATTTGCTAATTATTATTTTTTTTCATCTGTGAAAAAATAAAGTGTTACAACAGACCCTAGGCAGGAATGGATGGGGAGGAAGGGTGCACAGGTGCAGTTTCACCCCTTTTGATTCCTGCTCCCCCCAAAGTTTAAAACCGACTACCTGGCACTGGCAGCAACATTTCTAGTCAGGCAGTGCTGAGGGAACTCATTGACTTCATGGCTCATCTTTATCTACCCGCTCCCTTCTAAACTAGGGGTTTTCAACTTTTAAGAAGTGTACCCCTTCTGGAGGTGGCAGCTGGATGCAGAGCAGGAGGCGGGCTTGCACGCGCTGCACCCCGGTTTCCAAAGACTGGTTGCACATGCAGCTCCACGGGCTGCTGATGGGCCTCACACCCAACCAATTGTGCACCGCCTGCCAGCAGCCTGCAGAGCCACATGTGTGACCGGCTGTGGGAAAGCAGTGAGCGATGTGGTGTGAGGTGGTGGGCAATGGCAGTGCAGGGTGGTGGATGACAGCGGCTGCATGCTAGCTTCCCCTCCCCTGCCCCTGGCCAGCTCACAGAGGGGCACAGCTGCCCTCGCCCCCTCCTCCCCTTGGCCCTGCTTCTGGGAGGTGGCGGCGCAAGGTGGTAGCACTCCATCCCCACCCGCCTGCATGTACCCCCTAGAACCTTTCCAAGTACCCCTAGGGGTACATGTACCCCGGGTTGACGACCCCGTTCTAAACTCTTCACTCCCCAGGTGTTAAGGACCCTTTCCTCTTTGTTATGGTCTTGATGTTTTTCCAGTGGAGCTGCCCTTTGTTGTGCTATGCTGCTGTACGTGCTGTTTGCCACTCCTGGTAACGGAACTGCTATTTCAGAGCCCTGCCTGTGCATTGTCTTGAACTCATTCCAATGAAGTTATATTTGTTTTGGCCTCAATCCTATACTGAATAATGTGGCCCTAGGCCACTAGTATGTTAGCAAAGCTTCTAGTTTAGTTTTAACTAAAGAAAACCCAGTGTTGACTGTGTGAGATGCTGCTCCTCCCTTTGCAAAATCCTAGATCTGCCCCTGGCCCCGGGACTAGGGCTGAAGCTGGGCAGGCATTTGCACGTGGTCCACAGGCAAACGGGAAGGGAGGAGAGGACTGGGGCTATCACCAGCCCAAGGGCATCCCGTCGGGTTAGAGCAGGAGCTGCGGGCTTGCCCGGCCCAACGGCCAGAGGAGGGGGTGGGGGAAGCTCAGGGACAGGCTGCAGGAGCGCGGGGAACCACGGGCCTCATCCCACGGCGGAGAGACTGTGCTTCCTTTCGCCAGCTACCAAGTAGGCGAAAGCCAAACCACCCACCGTAGGGTGGCGGTCGAGCTCCTCTCATCGGCCAGGAAGCGGAAATGACCCTGTGCATGAGAGATGCTCTAGGCCCACACTCCAATGCTCCAAGTGGTTACGCCCCCCCCCGGCCTCTCCTACCTGTGCTGAGCCGTTAGGGGGCGCTCTAC